GGCGCAGGAAAAACCGAAGGCGACGCGGAGCAGCCTCAGAATCGCGGATGTAGGCCAAACGTGTTGGGGTTGTACGCGTTGCAATCAACCCCGATAAGGAAAATGAAATTTCCTTACATATAACGTCTCAACCGTTATTGTAAAGGTCTGTTTCTTGCAATGACATGTCTCAACTCAAATACGGTATACACATCTCATAAAAATTTGCCACATGTCTTACCAGGACTGGTTGGATCATCACTGTTTATGATTTTTTGTATCACACGTAATGAAGGATAGTATTCTGTTTTGTGCCAGTGAATCGTCTATGTTGAGAGTTAAGGTGCCACGTGTATGCTCTTTGTTATATGATGCTATCATTTGCATTCATGTCTGTTTGCCTCCCATCATATGTTCGTGCGTTGCATGCGTGGTGTGAGCGTGTGCAAGAATTTGTATTTGCAAGAGTTTGAGAACATTCTGACGGTGAACTTTTCGTCGACGACGTTTCTTGTGAAGTCGGCAATTCTGTCCAGAATTCTTGTCCAGCGATTTTGAGATATTTCGACCCCTAATCTTCATGGACTCCGTCCTTAGTCTCTAACACTCTTGAGCTAATATTCCGAATCGCGATTCGGGACATCTTGAGCCGCTCGAAAAGTGACGAAAATTTGCGCGACTAACGCAAATGGTGGATGACTTTGGCGCGAGATTCGGCAGAAGATTCTCCTGCACGAAATCTCAAACTTCCGCAAGATCTTTGCGCTCGCGTAAAAGTACGGCATCCTACAATGGGCGAATTCAGGCCTAGTACATGCAACATTCTCGAGGGGTGATCGAGCATGCCAGGGTACACACCGTCACAACAAGTGCAACTATTACGACCTTCAAAGGATGCTCCTTCACTTGAAGCTGATCAGGACATCCCAAGGGCGGCGTGTCGTGCCACTCACAATGAGCCTGGCACATACCGTAGACAGGCCGTCGAAGGTTCCACTGGGTCCCAGGAGGAAAGGACCCAGTGAAGCCAGGTGGGCGCCGAAGGAAGATTTGCTTGTGCAAGCCTGGAGAAAGTCAGTAGAGAAATCAAGCGCGTGAAGCTCGAAGTCGCGCTGCGCAGTGGTGTCTGGTAGTCCCCGAAGAGTGGTCATCTTCGGGGTAGGGGAGAAGGTGTGAAAGAAGTCTACCCCCTCTTGCTGACTAAAGCATCTCGCCACGTAGCTTGCCTTGAAGGTAGGCGGCTCTCCAGGTGGCCGCTTCACTTGAAGATCCACATGATTTCAACTATGTTCGCCCCACGAGGGGGAACTGCGTCTACGTATGTGCGTGTGGATCTCCAAGTTGAGGAAAGGACACGAGACCGTAGGGAAAGCGGCCCAGAGAAAGCCAGAGAACAGAGGAGAAGAGACAGTAAGGGATGGCGGAGGAGGCAACGGGAGAACAGAGGGTGGCGGAAAACGAGAGGGACGAGAACGGAGGAGCATAGAGTGGATATCAAGAAGGGGAGACACTGGACGAGCACGAGAGTGACGACGGACCCAGTGGTGGGCGTCAGTTGTCAGGTCAACAGACAGAGGAGGAGACAGGTGTGGATGAAGAGGAAGACGAGCCATAGACGAGACCGGGGGAGGAAACGTGGGACCGTAGACTGGGAGAGATAGTGAGGGGGGAACAGGTGGTCGGTCAGTCGAGGGGTAAGAAAGACCAAGAAGGCGAAGTGCAGGCATAGGCCGCGACACCGGTTGCTGTGGCTGCTGCGGCTACTTCGGCGCCAAACGTCTCTCGCCCGCTGCATCCCCAGTACCTGTACCTCCTGCGGCAACACCCCCCAGAACCAGTACTTCCAACGGCATCACCCCCAGAACCAGCACCCCCAGAGCCGGCACCCACAGCGGTAGCACCCCCAGAGTCCACAGCGACGAGCTGCGGTCGTGACGAAGGCTGCCGCGACGACTGCGAGGACGACGCCGGTAATGGCAGAGACTGCGGCATCAGCTGCGGCGGGGGCTTGGGACGGGGGGAAGGTGGCGAAGGGGCCGACCCAGGAGGCGTACCCCCACGTACCGGGCCTCGAGAGTCAGCAGACTCCCTCACAGGCTCAACCGAGGGAAGGGGGGTGACGTTCGACACAGTAGACGGGGCAGGACGCAGGGGCAGGGGAGCTAGTGGAGGAGTGGGACCGGGGGGGGGTGGGAGTGAGAAAGAGGAGAGGGGGGGGGAACTGGGGTACCTCGGTGAGGGAAGCGAGTGTAGAAGCAGACAAACTCATCAAAGGTGACATCACGAGAGCAGAGGAAACGGTGAGACGAAGGATGGTAGAACAGCCAGTCATAGGCGTCGAGGAGGAAACATAGGAAGACACATGGGAGAGTGCGGGCTAAGAGCTTGTCCGTGCGAGGGTCATGGTCGTGAGCAAGACAACCCCAGACGTGAAACGTAGGCACAGCACTAGGGGACCCAGTCCAAAGGAGGGTCGGTGAGACACGGGGCCACAGGTTGAGCTGGTGCGCGCGCAGCGGACTGCAAACGGCCGCAGTAAATGGGGGGCACTTGCATGAATCATGGCGGTACGAGCGATCTATATAATCAAGCCAATGCGACGCTTAACTACCCCATTCTGTTGCGGCGAGTCTGGGAGCGAGTACGTCTAGGTGATGCCCTCCGCATTACCGAGCTCGCCACCATGGTCGGAGTGCAGACGAATTACAGGCTGTGCGCGCTGGGTGCGGATGGATACTTTCCACGGGAGGAGAACGTCAGGCACGTCGGCCTTGTGCTCCAAGGAAAGGACCGTGGTATAGCGGGGGTGGTCATCCACAATGACCAGGAAGACGCGCTCCCGGCGCGGCCCAGGGACGGAGGCAGGGTCCAGACGTCCATGCGCAAGGTCTGAAAAGGCGAAGTGGTGGGAGGAAAGGAGGAACGAGGGGCGGCACGCTGCCTGCCCTCGGCACAAGGGGAACATGGTGGCGCAGACGAGGGAGGGAGAGCGGGGAGCGACGAGGGGAGACCAGAGACAAGACCGTGCTGAGCCATGTATCGCAGATGCGAGAGGGCGGGGTGACCTAGACAGTGGTGCCAGAGGAGCAACGGGTGAATGAGCGACCGACACGAGCACGACGCAACTATCTGACCAGACACAGGAACCTGGGTGGACGCAGTGTGCAGCGTGAAAAGACCTGACGCAGGGTCCCAGGGAAGGAGGCAAGGGCTGTCCCAATGCTAAGGTCCGTACAGGTCGTGAACCGCTCGTTTCCAGGAAACTTAGTGGTGACACCGAGGTCCTAAAGACGATTGACACGTGCAGACATATGATGGAGCCAGAAGAGACTTCCGGACACAGGTGTGCAGTACCGCTGCGTGCGACGACTGGTCCAGAGGAGGGGTCGCCAGGGAGACTGCCACAGGACCTGGAAGCGGCGAAAGGGTGGTGCGGTCGCGGAAGAAGCACTCTGACGCGCCGGAGTCCAGCGTGAAGGAGAGGGACGTGTCGGCAGTCAACGCACCTGGGTAGAAAAGGGCAGATGATCCTAGACAAGAGACAGCTAGAGAACCTAGTCTAGGTACACACAAATAATTGGATCCAGCAACACAAGAGTCATCAGCATACATGGCATACAAAGCAGATCCTATCTCAGACATGTCAAGATCAAACACAACCAAACCCCCTGCGTAACATCGCAGGCCTGTCCGGGACGGGCACTGTAGGCCTGAAGTGGGTGCGGAAGAGGTCGTCGCGTGGGCGAAAACAGCGCGCAGTGAAGTGACCAGTGCGCTCGTAGACGGTGCCGCGCAGACGACCAGACTGAATCTGGTACTGGCAGGGGCCTAGTGGGGGAGGCACGCGACGCCCAGCTGTCGGGCCCGCCACTACGGCCAAAGCTCCCTGGGCTAGCACGTCCCCGCTGCGATGTTGCTGCAGCTGCTGCGGCTGCTGCTGCTGCGGAGTCACCGTCCCACCCCCAGTACCAGCACCTCCTACGGCAGCATCCCCAGAACCAGCACTCACAGCGTGAGCACCCCCCGGCGTACCAGCACCTCCACCTCCTCCACGACCACGACCACCCTTGCGCCATCCCCGCCCACCAGAGAGGGCAGAGGCGGCTGCGACCTCTGTTGTAGCAGAAGGCTCAGAAAAAAAAAAAAAAACAACAACAACAACAACAACAACAACAACAAATTGGGGGGGAGCGCAGCTGGGGTGGGGAGCTGGGGCGGAGCGCACCTCTCAATGATGGGGGGGACTACCGCACCGGTGGTGGCGATGGTGCGAAAGCGGGTCTCGATCTCAATGAGACAAGCTCCAAAGAGGTCGAAAGTGAGGTCCATGCGGTACATGGCGAGGAGGGCGTTGCGGGCAAGCGCAAGGCGGCCAGGGAGGCGAGTCGCTAGGAAGTGCAGGGTGAGATACATGGGGGGGGCGTGCGCAGTGCAAGCAGCACGGAAGCTAGCGTCAAGCGAGCGCAGGTGGGTAGTGAGGTCAGCGACAGTGGGGAAAGCAGGGAGATTGGGGAAGAGGAAAGGCATGAGGAGGCGCCCCAGAGTAGCAGAGGAGGGGGTAGAGTAGCGAGCAACAATAGCATCGAGACACTCCTTCGCCGTATTGATCTGGCGAAAGTGCATTCGCTCGGCCGGCTGCAGGAGGCGACTAAGAGCAAGGCACACAGAAGTGTCAGGCGACACCCAAACCGAGTACGCAAGTTGGGCCACGCGGTGAGCCTCCCGCTCCTCCGAGTTGGGCTCAGCACTGACGGTAGGAGGACGCTGGGGGGTGGGTAGCTCATCCGACACGTGGGCGTACAGGCAGACGTCGTCCTGTCGCTGGCTCTGCAGGTGGAGCTGGACGTCGAGCAGCCATTCGTCAAAGTCAATCGCTCGCCCCTCCGCATCGAGCCGTAGTACGAACTCAGACGCCATGACAGGAGTGAGCCGGGGGATAGCTGCAGCGGATGAGAGGGAACGGGAGGAGGAGAATGGTAGATGTAAACCCTAAACCGTGGCTGCAGGCGCGGCGGCGGGCACTAGCTGCAGGCATGGCGGCGGGCAGCAGCCCAGACTCGACGGCGTCGATAGTCGCGGCGGCAGTCGCGGCGGCAGGTGTGCGGCAGGAGCGGCGGCAGGCACGGCTGCAGGCGCGGCCGGTAGGCTCGGCAGGCGCGACAGAAGGGCGCGCGGCAGAAACGGCGGCAGGGCGCGATGGCGGCCGCGCGGCAGGCGCGCCACAGGCTCGTGGCTGGGTGCAGCAGGGCGCACGGCAGGCGCGCAGCGGGACACGCGACAGGCACGCGGTAGGGCGCGGCAGGCACGCGACGGGCGTGGCAGGGCGCGCTGCAGGCGCGCGGCAGGGAGCGCGTCAGGGTGCGGCAGGCGTGGTAGGGCGCGCGGCAGCGAGCTCGACAGGGCGCGGCGGCGGGGCGCGGCAGTAGGCGCGCGGCAGGCGCGATGGCAGAGCGCGACGGGCAGCTAGAGAAGGGGGGGCGCTAGAGGGGGCCGTGAGGGCACGAGGGCAGCTAGGTAGGTAGGTAGGTGGTGCTGAAGCGAGAAACCTAACCTAATCTGGTACCATGTCACGAACGGGTATACATAGCAAACCCATACCCTTTGTAGTGCAACTCCACCTAGCCTAGAGAATACACATGCAAGTGCATATGTGTATGTTGACAGTTCATGGCATCGGACTAAGAAATTGGCATTTTACTTGACGCTAGCCTCAAGTTCCAATTGTGGTTTTCTCGCATCTCAGACTGTTAGTACCATGCCGCAACGATAGCAGGCTAGCATAGACGGGAAAGCGACATCTCGCTGCAGCTCCCGCAGGTGCCTACACGAACGATTCCTTGAGGAATCGTCGTTGTCAGCACGACGGCGGCCATTGGATGAGCAATGATTCAGCAACACCCACATCCAGCACTCAGTATTTCCAGCATTAAACAATCAAGCATTCCACTGTCCAGCATTCAGCATGCAACTGTAGCGCTCACAAAGGAGTATATCTCGGACAATGGGGGAGATTAGTGTGCTACAATGCACTTACTCATAGGCGAGCGCTCACCATCAATGTATTAGACTCACTATAACAACCGTTTATTTCAGGAGCAGTTACAGCAAGGGCATCATCCGCCTAGAATAACAAAGAGAGGTGAAGCTGCAGTGCAGCCAAGCACTCAGACTCACCCACCTCCCCCGTTCCCCTGCTACTCCTGCCTCAGTCGTTCACTTGTTGCTCTTCTTGAGCAGCGCAGTGCCTTGGCCTTGGCCGTCAGCTTATTCGACTCCGCCACCTTCGCCTGCTTCATCACCTTCGCCTTCTCAGAAATCTTCCCTCGTCCCTCTTATTCTCCTAGGTCCTTCTTCGTATTCTCTCTTATTCACTAGTTCCTCTTATTCTCCTCGTCCTTCCTCTTATTCTCCTCGTCCTTCCTCTTATTCTCCTCGTCCTTCCTCTTATTCTCCTCGTCCTTCCTCTTATTCTCCTCGTCCTTCCTCGTATTCTCCTCTTCCTTCCTCTTATTCTCCTCTTCATCCTTCCTCTTATTCTCCTCGTCCTTCCTCTTATTCTCCTCGTCCTTCCTCTTATTCTCCTCGTCTTTCCTCTTATTCTCCTCGTCCTTCCTCTTATTCTCCTCGTCCTTCCTCTCATTCTCCTCGTCCTTCCTCTTATTCTCCTCGTCATCCTTCCTCTTATTCTCCTCGTCCTTCCGCTTATTCTCCTCGTCCTTCCTCTTATTCTCCTCGTCATCCTTCCTCTTATTCTCCTCGTCCTTCCGCTTATTCTCCTCGTCCTTCCTCTTATTCTCCTCGTCCTTCCTCTTATTCTCCTCGTCCTTCCTCTTATTCTCCTCGTCCTTCCTCTTATTCTCCTCGTCCTTCCTCTTATTCTCCTCGTCCTTCCTCTTATTCTCCTCGTCCTTCCTCCCATTCTCCTCGTCCTTCCTCTTATTCTCCTCGTCCTTCCTCCCATTCTCCTCAACCTTCCTCCTATTCCCCTCATCCTTCCTCTTATTCTCCTCATCCTTCCTCTTATTCTCCTCATCCTTCCTCTTATTCTCCTCGTCCTTCCTCTTATTCTCCTCATCTTTCCGCTTGTTCTCCTCATCCCTCCTCTCCTCATTCTTCCAATCATGCTCCTCGTCCTTCTTCTTATTCTCGCCCTTCTCCCTCTTCAGCATCCTCCTCGTATTCTCCGCTGCCACGTCAGCGTCCGCGCCTTCCCCCTGCAGCGCGGAGAGCACGGCGTCCGTCGCCACACCGCGAACAGCCCCTGAATCGGCCGACTCCTCGCCGCCGTCCTCCATAAGAGAGCGAATCCTATAACGGATCGCTCTCACATTCGCGTCCTCGCGCACGTCTCCCGAAAGCGCCTTGCCCGAGCCGAGCAGGCCATGCCCGAAGATTGAGGCGAAAATGGGGTTCCCGACATCTGCCGTCACGGCCGCGGGCAGGTGCACGGCGACTAGAAGCGTACAAAGAAGCACCAGGAAGTTTCGAAGCGCAGCCATGGCTGTTGATGGTTTCGAACAATATTAGCAGTATGAGTATCAGCACTTGGTGACCTTGAACCGAAGGCTAATGATGGATACGATTGGAAGTGCGCGCAGCTAAATACTACTGGGAGATCATTGTGGGGGGGCGTCGCTCGGCTGGTGCGATAGTTGAATGCGCCGGCCAAGGAACTTCAAAGCGCGCAATTATTGGTGCGATTATTGCGCTGTGAAGGACGTTGTGGTGTGTGAGCAGTGGGATGCTTATTGCGCCGGGTAAGGAGCTTCGAAGCGGCGATTATAGGTGCTGTTATTGCGCTGTGAAGAACGTTGTGTGTGTGAGCAGGGCGATGCTCATTGTGCCGGGTGAGGAGCTTCAAAGCGTGCGATTATTGGTGCCGCGCTGCAAAGGATATGTGGAGTGTGAGGAGCATTCCCTGCATATGAGACGTGCCTTCTGGTGGTGCGATTTTGTATACTCATTTCGCGAGGCTGTGTGCTGTGTGCTTGGCGAACGAGAACTCCTAGGGAACAGCAGCGAGGAGGTTGTCGTCACCCCATGTTTTCGCGAAACTCGAAATCAAAACACCTGCGGGTTACCCTCGCGAAACCCTTTGATCTGCCAACAATGCCAAACTCGAAATCTCTGAAAAAAATTGTTGCGCGGTTCGCCTTTATTCGCCACGCAGCTTCCCTTTCATCTAGGCGGTTTGCAATAATTATTCTCGCTATAGCACTGTACGACAATGTCATGACCACATCTGCTCATAAATAATGACAGCAAAATGCCCAGAGAAGGCAAATTCCGTATAAAGGGTATGGCCCTTAGGCCAAAATACGATGCATTTGCAAAACCGCAAATAAACGAACTCGTGAGTGTGCTGCTCTACAGGGAAACGGGAAATAAAATTGTGTGGGAAACAGAGTGACTACAATGACAATGGAACGAGCTAAAACAAGGCAAAAACGAGCCAGGCCCTTGCTAAAATAGGCTTGGAAGGGAGGCGGGAGATACGGGGGCGACTAAAGGGTGGTTTTGGGGAGAGATGGATGGTTGTTTCTAAACCGTGTCGAATTCATCGTTCAGTTTACGCTTGCGCAAAGCCAGCCTGTCATCTCTGAAACGGGGGTTCAAAGAGTGGGTGAATGGAGTGGAGTGAACGGAAAAAAAAAAACACTTATCACCTCACCACCATGCAACATACTGTAAGACGTATCGAGCACCACTAAAAGAAAAACTAAAACTCGTTGGATTATACATCAAGAAAAAAAATGCTTACCTGTTCAGTTTTGGTCTGGGTGGCAGAACCGATCCAGGAGGGAACACCACCGTATCAACCGACATGGGCCCTCCATCCCCTCCCCCGGTAACCGCAGTAACCATCGTCACCTCACTCGGCGTCTCCCCTTCCGGCCCACCCCCCTCCACTGCTCCTCTCCCATCCCTGCCCTCCCCAACAATCTCCCCAGCCTTCCCCCTCCCATCACCCCCGTCGCTGTCTTCTATTCCTGGTTGGAGTGATATGCGGACTGCCTTAGTGGCTGGTGAGAGGTTGCGGGGATAGTGGGGTGACTCTACTGAAGGCGGGAGATGCCGGCGCCCTGTATTAGCACCAGCTGCTGCTGCTCCTGCCCCACCAGCCGTCCCGTCCCGTCTCGCATCATCACCAGCAATAGCACCGTTGGCAGCATCAAGAGCAGCAGCTGCAGCATCTGGGGCGAGAGGCGCCAGGCCGACAGGGATGGAGCCGGGAGGGAAGTCGCTGCCAGAGGGCTTCGGAGGCGGGCGAGGCAGGTCCTTGGGCTTGGTGGCTGGCGGGCCGAGCAGGAAGTAGCTGGTGGGGGGGATGAGGGGGAAAACAAAGAGTGGATGAGAGAGGCGCGAGGAATGTAAGAAGCAGGGGGGGGAAGAGGGGGAGAGCGAGGCAGGCCCTTGGGCTTGGTGGCTGGCAGTCCAAGGAGGAAGCAGCTGGTGGGGGGAAGAGGAAAAGGGGGGGAAGAGAGAGCGGGTGGATGGCAGGCAGGTTGACTGGTGAGACTTTAGCTAGCTTGTCACATATGGCAGAGAAGGCGAGGCAGGTCCTTGGGCTTGGTGGCTGGCGGACCGAGCAGGAATGTGGAAGGAAAACAAGGGGAGGAAAACAAGGGGAAAACAAGGGGAGGAGAGACGGGGAGGAAGAGAGGAGGCTGGTGTGGTGTGGTCTTCAAATCCGGTTACACTGTACAGAAGCAGGGAGGGCGAGGGATGCCATTGGTCTTGGTTGGTGGCAGGCAGAGGAGGAAGCAGCTGGTGGAGAGAAAGAAAAATGGGTGGTGAGAGAGCAGAGGGGAGTGTGGGAATGGAGAGGGATTAAGTCAGCAAGTGAGGGGAAAGAGAGGGGTGCCCGGCTGGTCCTTGGGCTTGGTGACTGATGGTAGAGCCCCTCTCATTTCCGGCAGTTAGAGGTCCCAGTGACTCACTCATCGGTGCTGTAAAGCCTGAGCAGATGTGATCCGCTTGTTTGGATCACAAGTTAGCATGCGAGAGAGCAGGTCGAGAGCATTCTCGCTAGCCAAGTGCTACTTGAGGGGCGATAGCACCGCACTATGTGTGAACCTATGTGAGTGACTTGCTGCATGCATGCATGCACATGAGTGACTTGCTCACCGGTGCTGTAAGGCCTGCTCTCTTGCATGCTCAGTAATACTCTTGTTTGAATCGATCGAACGTGAGCATGCAAGAGAGCAGGTCGAGAGCAACGTCTCCAGCCATGGGGAAAAACGACTTGAGGGACCGCTGCACTTCACAGACAGCACTGCACTGCATGCGTAAGCCAATCTGAGCGCACCCCACCCACCAACTCACCGGGGTTGCAGGGCTTGGGCAGAGGTGATCCTCTTGTTCGAATCGAACGTGAGCATGCAGGAGAGCAGGTCTAAGGCATCGTCTCCAGCCATGGGGAAATGCGACTTGAGGGGCGACAGCACATCACTTGATGCATGCATGAGCCTACATGTGCGCACCCCAGTTACTCACACGTGTTGCAGGGCTTGAGCAGCCGTAATTCTGTTGTTGGGATCAAAAGTGAGCATGCGGGAGAGCAGGTGGAGAGCAGGCGATGCTTGAACACCTGGACCATCTCACTCACCGGTGTTGTAAAGCTTGAGAAGCTGTGATTCTGTTGTTGGGGTCGAACGTGAGCCTGCTGGTCACGCCCGTGGCAATGGGCATCATCTGCTGCCACGGGGAACGTGAGCCTGCTGGTCGCGGGCATCATCTCCCGCCACGGGGAACGTGAGCCTGCTGGTCGCGGGCATCATCTCCCGCCACGGGGAACGTGAGCCTGCTGGTCGCGGGCATCATCTGCCGCCACGGGGAACGTGAGCCTGCTGGTCGCGGGCATCATCTCCCGCCACGGGGAACGTGAGCCTGCTGGTCGCGGGCATCATCTGCCGCCACGGGGAACGTGAGCCTGCTGGTCGCGGGCATCATCTGCCGCCACGGGGAACGTGAGCCTGCTGGTCGCGGGCATCATCTGCCGCCACGGGGAACGTGAGCCTGCTGGTCGCGGGCATCATCTCCCGCCACGGGGAACGTGAGCCTGCTGGTCGCGGGCATCATCTCCCGCCACGGGGAACGTGAGCCTGCTGGTCGCGGGCATCATCTCCCGCCACGGGGAACGTGAGCCTGCTGGTCGCGGGCATCATCTCCCGCCACGGGGAACGTGAGCCTGCTGGTCGCGGGCATCATCTGCCGCCACGGGGAACGTGAGCCTGCTGGTCGCGGGCATCATCTCCCGCCACGGGGAACGTGAGCCTGCTGGTCGCGGGCATCATCTCCCGCCACGGGGAACGTGAGCCTGCTGGTCGCGGGCATCATCTCCCGCCACGGGGAACGTGAGCCTGCTGGTCGCGGGCATCATCTGCCGCCACGGGGAAGCGCCATTGCCACGGGCAATGGCACCGCACAGACTGCAGTGCACTGACTTCATATACGTGTGTACTCACCGGTGCTGCAGGGCTTGAGCAGCGGTTATCCTCTTGTTTGGATCAAAGGTGAGCATGCGGGAGAGCAGGTCGAGGGCATCGTCTCCAGCCATGGGGAAGTGCGACTTGAGGGGCGACAGCACTACCATGCATATATGACGGTACTGCTCACCGGTGTTGCAGGGCTTGTGCAGCAGTGATGCGCTTGTTTGGATCAAACGTGAGCATGCGAGACAGAAGGTCTAAGGCATCATCGCCAGCCATGGGGAAGTGCGACTTTAAGGGCGGCGCCGGGCAGAAGTTGAAATGCACGTAGTCGGGCAGGCACTGCATGTCCGGCCATTGGTCCTCCCGCGGCGTGCCCAGGGCAGCGAAAATCTTCCCTAATTGGTCGATGTCACTCGATCCCTGGGATATGTGGAGGGGAGGGGAAGGGGAGAGGGGAGGGGGAGAGGTACTGGGGAGAGGAAGTGGGGTAAGGGAGAGCAACTCAGATTAGGCACCCGATACCACAGCGCAAACACCTGGTGTTTTGAGACGTCTCAAAACACTACTTCAAACACGTGGGAAGTGCGGTAAGGGAGAGCAACTCAGCTTAGGCACCTGATACCACAGCGCAAACACCTGGTGGGCTAGCTCGCTTGCTGCCTCTGCGTGTGAGCTTCCTTGCTGTGTCTGTGCGAAGAGTAGGGCATGCCGCATACCTGTAGGAAGGGTCGTCTGAGCAGCAGCTCTGCAAACACACAGCCAGCGCCCCACACGTCCACGCCTGACCCGTACGCCTTGCTGCCGAACAGCAGCTCAGGGGCGCGGTACCACAGCGCAAACACCTGGTGGGTGAGCTTGCGGTCGGGGCTGCCAAAGAGGCGCGCAAAGCCGAAATCAGCTATCTTGAGCTCCCCTGTTGGGCCGATGAGGAGATTGTTGGGCTTCATGTCTCTGTGGGAGGGGACAAGGGGCAGTGGGACGGGAAGGGATAGCATAAGCGGGTTGATTGAAATCAGCAATCTTGAGCTCCCCTGTGGGGCCGATGAGGAGATTGTTGGGCTTCATGTCCCTGCGTGGGTGGTGGGGAGGTGTGGGAGGGAGGGGAGAAAGGGGAGCGGGAGAGGAAGGGATAGCATAAGCACGTTAAAATCAGCTATCTTGACGTGGCCTGTGGGGCCTATGCGGAGATTGTTGGGCTTCATGTCCCTGCGTGGTTGGGGGGATGGGGAGGTGTGAAGAGGGGTGCAGGTGGGTGCGGGTGGGGACTGGGGACAATGGGGACGGGGCACAGAATTCTTGAGGTGGCCTGTTGGGGCTATGAGGAGATTGTTGGGCTTCATGTCCCTGCATGTGAATGGATGGGGAGGTGGGACGAAAACCACCATCATACTCTTGAAATTAAGTGTTATCAGACGAAGCATCATCAGAAAAATCATCATCAGGTGAACCACCACTGAAAGAACCACCATCATACGAACCATCATCATACGAAGCATCATCATGCGAAGCGTCATCAGACAAACCAGCATTTAGGGCGTGTAACCATTTTGATTTGCGGACGGTCCTCATATTTTGAAACGGACGGTCCAACTAACGAGAACAGAACCGTCCGTTTTGACGGTTCGGCACTTTGCCACCGTCCGGGTAGGAAAGTGACACTTTTTGCTTGTTCATCATTTTGGCGATTACTGTAGCCTCGTTAGATGCCCTGTATCTTCGTAACGTGATTCGCAAAGGCTCGTTATCAGAATTCGTCCGCCAATCGTTAGAGTTACTGTAGATTTGGTTTCGCGCGCCAATCTCTAGCCAGGACTGGCGGACTGTCCGTTTTGGTTTTGGACTGTCCGCGGTTCACATTCTGAACCGTTGAAAGAATGAAAAAGTGTCACCACAGTTCGAATTGTTGGCGACGTCGCACAAGCATTCACGAACATCTAAACGAGAAAATGCGAAACTAGTAACCTGTTCGTCGACCGGACGTCCACGGTTCGAACCGTGGGGTGGGGGGCAAAATGGTTACACGCCCTTAGCAAGCATCATCAGCCGGATTACATACCTGTGCAGCACCCATTTGCCATGGCAATATGCGAGCCCCTCTAGAGTCATGCGCATGAACGCCTTGATGTCGGCCGGAGACAGGTGCAGCGAGCGATCCTTGATGATGTTCTGGGGGCGGGGGAGGAGGAGAGGAGGAGGGGGGAGAGAGAAGGGCGAAGAGATGGAGAGTCATGCGCATGAACGCCTAAATGTCCCCTGGGGAGAGGTGCAGCGAGCGATCCTTGATGATGTTCTGAGAGGAAGGGTGGGGGAAGAGGAGGACGGGGACGAGGGAGGGAGGACGGTGGGGAGGAGGATGGGGGTAGGATAAGAGAGCCGTGCCCATGAATGCATTGATGTCCCCTGGGGAAAGGAGGGTTGGGGGTGGGGGTGAGTTTGTGAGTTGCTGTTGGGTCAGACGCAGCAGGCTTAGAAGGCGTGGTTTGTACCTCTGTTGTTACGAGAAAGCAGACGGTAGGACGACCCCAATCGGTGAGAGAGCAATAGATAAGAGACATAAACTCGAGAACGAGGTTCAGGTTCTTGTTACGCGAGTGGGTAAATAATGATAAGCTCAATGACGTGCGGGTGGGGCAGAGCAGGCAGCTCCCTTAGTGCTAAGCCAACACAGCACATGCTCTGAGGCTCAACTCTAAATCCGTCTCCATGAACTCGAGCACCAGATTAGGTTCCTATTGTTGTGCAGGTAGATGGTGATAAGCTCAATGACGTGTGGGTGGTGCAGTGCAGCTCCCTTCAGCGGGAGGCTACATGTCCACCCATGGGCTCTCAGTGGCCAAGCATAAGCTCACCTCTAAGTCTGTCTCCATGAACTCGAGCACCGTTCAGGTTCCTCTTCTTGGGATAGATGTCGATAAGGTCGATGATGTGTGGGTGGTGCAGCTCCTGCAACAGCTTCATCTCCCTCAGAACCGTCACGTTCGCGTTCACGTTCACCTGACCCTCTTCCTTTCCCCCAACATGTTTGGCTCACCTCTAAGTCTGTCTCCATGAACTCGAGCACCAAGTTTAAATTCCTCTTATGGGGGTAGATGTCGATGAGATCGATGATGTGCGGATGGTGCAGCTCCTGCAGCAGCTTGATCTCCCTCAGAGCTGTCACGTTCACACCCTCCTTGCAGTCGCCCAGATGAATCTTCTTTATCGCCACTGTCCTGCCCGTCTGCAGCGAGGGGAAAGCGAGGAAATGAAGGCAGGTGGACGAAAGGGGGATGTGGGAAAAAGGGAAGGAGAAGGGGAATGGGAGGACGGACAGTGGGGAACAGGGGGGAGGAAGGGGAAGTGGAGTGCAGCAGCTTGATCTCCCTCAGAGCCGTCACGTTCACGCCCTCCTTGCAGTCGCCCAGATGAATCTTCTTTATTGCGACCGTCTTGCCAGTCTGCAATACGTGGGAAAGGTGGAAGGTGGGGAAACATGGGGAGGAGTGAGGAACGGAATAGGCAGGGGAGGGGGAAGAAGGGGAGTGCAGTGCAGCAGCTTGATCTCCCTCAGAGCAGTCACGTTCACGCCCTCCTTGCAGTCGCCCACATGAATCTTCTTTAACGCCACTGTCTTGCGCGTCTGCCACACAAGCGGAGGGGAGGAGGGGGCCGGGGGAGGGGGGGGAGGGAGGACGGTGGGTGGGGGGGACGGGAAGGGGAAGAGGGAAAGGAGGAGGGGAGGAAGGGAAGAAAAGAATGTGATGTCTCAAGTTTCTTCCCGTACTTCTACTCTATCTGAGCTTCTGAAATGGGATAAGCGGGCGATAAATCGGAACATCTATTCAGGCGAACATCCCGCTCTCAGTGAGTGAATTGAAGTGCGCTCATTCATTCCATTCCATTCCTCCTCGCATGCAGGCTGTACGTACGCATGTGAAGTCACAACGAATATTGAACAAAACGGAGCTCATTCATTGCCTCACATGAGTGTCGTATGCCTTGAACACGACTCCGAACGTTCCCTTCCCGAGTGTCACCCCCTTCACGTATCGCCCTCCCCCTGTTAGCCGCCCCATTGTGACGAGTGGTGCTGTCTGTGGGGAAGGGGGAAACGAGGAAGCGAGTGAGGCCGGGATGGAGAGGAGGGGGAGAAGGGCGGAGAAGGGAGGAGGGGAGAGGTATGGAGCGGAAAGGATGAATATCGCTCCGTGTGATGTAAGCCGGCCTATTGTGACAGTGTTGTCTGCCAGGTAGGGATGGGGATGCAGGGATGGGGAGGCAGGGATGGGGAGGCAGGGATGGTCGGTTGGGTGGGAGTATCCCTGATGATACAGCTTCGCATGTGATGATGAAATGTAATTCGCATGGAAAATGTGGAAAGGTTTGAGGCAGTGGCACGGCATGTGGCGGACAGTGGAGGGGAATGGGGACTCCCATGCGAAGGAACACGGGATATGGCGGATGGGAGGTTAGCTCAGCAGGGAGGAGGGGGAGAAGGGTGAATGGGGAGGGAGGATGGGGAGGGAAGGCGAGAGCAAGGGGTGCGGGACGAGTTGCAGACGTGGCTGGGGATTGGGGCAAAGGATGGAGACAGGAGGGGGGAGAAGAGGTGCGAGGGGGGGGAAGGCGCAGCGGATGGGCGCAGCGGATGGGTGCAGCGGATGGGTGCAGCGGATGGGCGCAGCGGATGGGTGCAGCGCGAGAGGAGCGAGGGAAGCGAGGGGCACAGGAATCGCCCACCGTTGAGTTAATAGTCAATTCCGTAAATTGTTGGTCATGCGGCTTTTGAGGATTCTCAAAAGCGATTAATGATCGAGAGGCACGGGGAAACGAGGCAATCGCGGCGGAAACAGCAGAGAAGGGCGGAGGAGAGAACTGTAGCATTCGAATGCGAGCATGCTACAGCGCCGAACGACGGAGGATGGGGACATGCTACAGGGCCGCATTCGCACACCTGGAAAGCACGCCGCCGTTTTCAGCTCTGCAAAGATCCAAAAAACGTAGGCCGTGCGAGGTTCTTCCTCCGAGGTTCGTGTATAGTAAAGGGCGAAACGGGAGGCGCGCTGAAGTATGGACCCAGGAACGAGAGTAGTTAGGCGGTGGATATGCTAACACATCGCATGGCCCGTAAGCGTTGGATCAGCCGCAACTGTTCATGTGACAGAATACGCGCTATGATACATTCCATCATCAAAGTTGCAGAGTAGCCCCACTGATTGCCTAACCGGATTCACCTAGTAGATAGCTATTCTAAATTACTGTATGTTCTACTTGAGCAAACACATCCATTTCGCAGTAATTTTTCTCTTCGAGCTATCAACTAAAGAATATACATTTCCATTTGTCACAATCCCAAGTGGGACTTTAGCGAATGATCGCTCAGGGTTGATCGCAGGGTAATGTTGCAGCGGAAGTAGTGAACTCAGGTCAGAGTGAATGTAAATGACTGAGATTGATAATAGCATGCATACATTGAGTTTATATAGGAAATACAAAGGAATACGAAACGACCTAGGCTAGCCATGTACTCTAAGGGGTACATTCCCTTATTACAGCGAGGTTCAAACCGTGCGGCGCGGGAACCCGTTTCAAACCTGTTCCCGCTCTTTTCACTTCGAATGTTTCTGCCTGCATCAGTCTTGATCAGACGGTTACCAGTGTCGCTTCGACTCTTCTGACTCCTCGGCTTCGTACACTTTAGAGTCGGTCCCTGCAGTATACAGGAATGCCTTCTCGTAAAGTTTCATATCGTAACACTCCCCTTCATTCCTGAGTGCGCAGAGGGCTGACTCGCTTGACCACTCCGGTGAAGTCGGAATAGTGCTTGTACTGCTAACGTGGCAGTCGCTTGGTGAGAAAATCGGCTGCCATCTCGGTGGTGGGGCAGTACGTGAGATCAACCTTGCCCTGGTCAATTTCGTCCTTGACGAAAAAGTATCGAAGCGCGATGTGCTTCGTGCGGTTCACGAACCCTGGCTTGTTCGCAATCTTGATGGCACTCTGATTGTCACAGTGAAGGCGAAAGGTGGGCGAAGTTGGAATTTTCGCCTCCTGCAGTAACTCCTGCAGGTACAGACCTTCGCGATGCTGTCGCGGCGATGTATTCTGCTTCGGCCGATGACAGGGCAACCAGCTCCTGCTTTTGCGAGTTCCAGGAGATTGGTCCTGTTGGTTCCAGGCGGAAAACGAAGCCGGTTCGGGACCGTCGACTTGCAGGATCAGCGGCATGATCTGCATCCACGTAGCCGTTGAGGTTGAAGGAGGTGGTTGCCAGCGTGGACTAAGAGAGTCGGATGTCAGGTGTGGAAATGAAGTACTGCATGGCGCGCTCCAGATCCAGCTGGTTCTCTGCTACTGGCTTGCGAGAGTACTGTGCCAGTTGGCTGGCGATGTACGAAAGGTCGGGTCGGCAGGTGACAGAGGCGAACAGCAGGCACCCCAATTTCTGCTGGTACATTTGGAGTCCTGCGGGTGACAGAGGTTTGTTGTCCGGTTTGTAGTTGGCGCTGGGGTTGCGGTAAGGGGTTGAGAGTGGTGCGGGTGAAATGTTGAAGCGTTCCCCCAGCTGCTCTGCGTACTTGGAGGCTGACAGGTGAATTGCTTCTGGCGCGTAGGTGATGTTTAACCCCAGAAACTGTGTGACGTTGTGGTTGATGGTGATGTCAACGCGCTGCGCCGAGTTCTCTTCGAACTAATTAAGGAGCTTGTTGCAGGTGCCGGTGTACAGCAAGTCGTCGACGTAGACTGTCAGAAGGATGTAGTCGCCGTTAAAGTGAAGGCGGTACATTCCCGGGTCGTGCGGCAGCTGCCTGAAGCCGATCTCCAGGAGGATTTTGTGCAGATGCTGCTGCCAGAGATGCGGCGCTTTCTTTATCCCGTAGAGGGATTTCTTCAGCTGGCAGACCCTGGGGTCTCCTTCCCCATAGGTGTGTGGCTGTTCCACGAAGATGGTTGCATCCACCAACGCGTATAAGAACGCGTTCTTCACGTCGATCTGCCGCAGTGGTAGGTGCTTAGCGGGGGCAATGGCGAGTAGAATTCTGACGGAGGTGTGACGACTGACGGGAGCAAAGGTTTGATCAAAGTCGATGCCGTGGCGCTGGTCGTAGCCGCGTACGACCCAGCGTGCCTTGAAGTGCTCGATATGCCGTCGGCGTTGGTTTTGAGACGGAATACCCATTTTCCGCTTAGCACCCTCCTCCCCTTCACTGCTGCACGATCGATCAGGACCCATGTGTCGCGTGGTTCCAGTGCCTGCAGCTCCGCGTCCATAGCAGCACGCCACTCCTTGGCGTGGGGACCGTTCAGAGCCTGGCGAGGGTTCTTGGGTTCGATGGCGCGCGTGAGGGTAGTGACAGACGTGTGTAGGCCGAGAAGCTGCAGGCCGGACACATTGGTGGTGTTGCTGGTGGTGACCTCCACCACATCCTCATCGTAACTCTCGTGGGCAGTTGCGGTAGTGCTGGGCTCGGGTTGGCGACGCGATGGTTCTGGCGCGGGTGTGTCGTCGTCATCGTCGTCGTCGTCGTCGTCGTCGCGCAGGCGAGGCGGAACGCCGGGATGTTCGTCGGCGGGATCGCGGTTGAGTGCTGCCGCTGCTGCCTCGTCTTCTGGGGATGCGAAACTGCGGCCGCTGTTGACGTAGCCGCGTGCTTCGTTGCGACGTTCGTCGTCAATCCACTGCTGCAAGGTGAGTCACTCATAGAAGAGAACATCACGAGCGGGGACAATCTGCTTGCTGTCAATGTCAAGAATGAGCCAACCCTTGTACTCGTTACTGAGTCCCAGATGGACTCCCCAGCGCGCATGGTAAGTGAACTTGCCGATTGTCGCGGTCGTCGGCCGGTACTGCACCATACACCCCCAGACCCTCAGCATGGAGGGATCTCCCTTTGAGCCGGTCCACTTCATGTGCGGGGAGAGGTTGTTCCGGTTGGCCGTGTTGGAGAGAAGATTGTGCAGTCGCACCGCGTGGTTCATGGTGTACGACCAATATTTCTTGGGAAGGCCGGACTGATTCATGAGGGCGCGCACTTTTGTCATGAGGGTGCGATTAACCCTCTCTGCGACGCCTTGCTGCTGGTGAGCGTAGGGGAGTGAAACCTCATGCTTGATCCCCTTCTCCGTGAGGATGCTCTCCAGCTCGTTGCTGCGGAACTCCTTGGCGCCGTCGCTCTGCCTGATTTTTAGCTTCCTCCCCGATTGCCGTTGCGCATGTGCGAGCCAGATGCGGAAGACTTCTGGAGCCTTGGAGCGAGCGTCGACGTTGGCGATCCAAACGTGGCGTGAGTAGGCGTCCACGAAGGTGAGTGTGTACCTCTCGCCGTTGATGCCGTCGAAGGTGAGCACGACGAAGTCGCTATACACCTTCTGCAGCTTCTTGTAGCGGTTGGTGCTTGGTTCCAGGGAGGGGTAGGCACTGTGAGAGAGGTCAGCTGTGGGACAAACGGTGCAGGTGGTTGGGTGTGGGGTGTTGTGGGGTTCCGTTCCGTCGGGGCGCAGCAGCGCTCCTGGGGGGAACACTTTAGCGCGGAGACAGTTGTTGAGTGTCCGGCGCGAGGGGTGACCGAGTCGCTGATGCCAGAGGTCAACTTTGGCGCGGATTCCGGAAGTGCGCATGTAACGGGCACGGTGTTCCGCTACTTCCGCTTCTGTTTCTTGCGGAATCTGGAGTGGAGGTTCTTCCTCTTCGTCTGCTTCGTTGTCCGGCTCCTCTGCTTGTGCTTCTGTTGCTGTCTCCCCTTCTGCAGGTGCCGTCGTGAGGTAGAGCGCAAGAAATTCGCGATCGGGGATGATGTTGAGCGGAGTCCTCGTGCCTTCGATAAGGCGGGCGTATGGATCTGGGCGGGAGATTGGACCAAGTGAGTCACGTGGGGGAGTTGGTGGCATGTTCCCCTCCTCAATCTCCAACCAGGGGCTGTTCCAGCCCCATGATGGTGAGCGCAGTGATGACGGCAGGTTGCGGGGTGGGCGTCCTAGCGGAATGGGGACGCGTGGCGATCGTTCTCCGCGTTCTACAACTATTTCTCGTTCTATCTCCTCTTCTTCTCCTTTGGTGAGCGGAGCATCCGCGTATTCGTCTCCTCCCCATCCTCCGGTGTCGCCCCATCCGCCTGTTCGCACGGTGCCGGATGCGCCAGTTGCGGATCCCCATGTTGCGCCTTCCTCTGGTACGTAGTCGTCGTCTCCCCATGCGCCACGTCGTGCTGACTCCTCGTCCCATCCGGCCGCTACGCGCTCCTCATACAGTTTCTGCTTCTTTTCTGCCTTTGCCTTGTCTTCCTCCTCTTTGACGCTCATTTCTTCTTTTGCGTCAGGATCCTTCCATGACTTGTCGATTAAAGCTGCGGTCTACATTCTAAAAGGGATTTTCTGGGTCTAATCTAAGTGCACACCCTTTGGCATAATATGATTCGACAGCGAATTGAGCTTCGACCTCAAACACCAGTGCGATGAATTCAAGCACCGAAGGCGATGACAAACAATTTCGTCAGCGGGTTTGCCTGGGGGAAGTAATCCGCGGAAATGCGGAAGAGCCTGCGCCCAACTCAAACAACCAAGCCCAATATACAGAGTATGCAACCTACTCCATACAGCTCTAGACTGCAATGAAGCTAACTGCAGGCAGTGCAGCAGAATATTACACGCCACCGCGCCCTTGCCACGAAATTCGCCCGTTGCGCGTAGTGCTTCGGTTTGTGTCACGCAGCCACTCTAGTAGCCGCTATTCCTAGTAGCAGCGTATCACGTAACGTCTGTTTCACGCCATCCCTAATCGAAATCCCCGCTTCCGGCCAGGTGCGCGCGAGCGTAGCGGATTCTTCACGCCACCACGCTAAGCCGCAATGCCCGCTTGCGGGTTTAGGGTCACGTCACCACGCTAAGAGCCGCTATTCCCGCTAGTAGCGTCACTCGTACTGCGGGTTTCACGCCACCCCGCTCACAATCGCTATTCGCGCTATGTGTGCGTGTAGTAGTGCCTTTCCCACGCCACCACACTCGGCGACCGCAATCCCTGCTAGGGTCGCACCTCGTGGCCCCCAGGTCGCACCTCCCTTTTCCCCCCCAGGTCGCACCTCCTCCAACCTCCTCCCGTCCCTCACCCCCATGTTCCTTCCAACCCTGCCCTCAGCACATTTTATCTCCTCCCTTCCCTCCCCCCCCTTCTTTCCCTCAAGTAATCCCCTCTATCCCGCCGTTTCCCCCCTCCATGCCCTCATTCCCATCCCTGCTTCCCCTCATTTCACCATTGTCTTCCCCATTTCCCTACTACTTTCGCTTGTTTTCCCCCCATTCGCGCGCCAACGCCTTGTCCCATCCATCCGAACGTCCACCTCTAGACATGAGGTTGTGGTGAGTGCGTCCGTGGTGAGTCAGGTGGCAGGCGTTCCGTGGCAGACGCGTGGGTGCAAGGCGCGTCAGGGTTGGCGAGCGCGGGTTTAGAGTGGGAAGTTCATCTCGCACTCAACTGCGCTCACACGAACAGGGGCATTCCTCCGAATCCCTTCAATCCCCTGCACCTATCCCCCCTGGCCTCCTCTGTACCCCTGTCCTCCCCTCCCCCCTGTCCTCCCCTCTCCCCCCAATCCTCCCCTCTCCCCCCTGTCCTCCCCTCTCCCCCCTGTCCTCCCCTCTCCCCCGGTCCTCCTCTCTCCCCTCTGTCCTCCTCTCTCCCCCCGTCCTCCTCTCTCCCCCCTGTCCTCCGCCCCCACGCAGTCCTCCTCTGTTCACGCTGTCCTCTCTCATCCCGTCCTCCCCTCTGTACGCCCTTCCTCTCCTCCTCCAGCCCGTCATCCCCTCGTTTCCCTTCTCCCGTTTCCCTCCACCCCATATCCATTCCCCCCATTTCCCGCCCCCGTTTCCCTTGCCACCGTTCCCCTCTCCCCCACTTCCCGTCCCCCCAATCTCCCTTCTCTCCGTTTCCCTTCCCCCCGTTTCCCTTCCCCCCGTTTCCCTTCCCCCCGTTTCCCTTCCCCCCGTTTCCCCTCCCCCCGTTTCCCTCCCCCCCGTCGCCCTTCCCCCCGTTTCCCTCCCCCCCGTTTCCCCTCCCACGATTTCCCCCCCCCCGCCCGTTTCCCTTCCCCCCGTTTCCCTTCCCCCCATATCCCTTCTTCCCGTTACCCTACCCCTCTCATACATTTCCCTCATCTCCCTTCCCCCCGTTTCCCTTCCCCCCACTTCCCGTCCCCCCTTTTTTCCCGCCCCTCCTTTTTCCCGTCCCCCCTTTTCCCGTCCCCCCTCTTCCTGTCCTCCCTTTTCCCTCAACCCCGCTTCCCTTCCCCCCGCTTCCCTTCCCCCCGTTTACCTTCCCCCCGCTTCCCTCCCCCCCGTTTACCTTCCCCCCGTTTACCTTCCCCCCGTTTCCCTACCCCCCGTTGCCCTTTCCCACATTTCCCTTCCCTCCATTTCCCGTCCCCCCCTCTTCCTTCACCCCGTTTCCCTTCTCCCCATTTCCCTTCCCCCGTCTCCCTCCCCCCCGTTTCCGTTCCCCCCTGTCATCCTCTCTCCCCCCTGTCCTCCTTTCTCCCCCTGTCATCCTCTCCTCCCCGTGTCTTCCTCCCACCTCCCCACTCCCCTCACTGTGCCGGGACCTCCCCATCTCACCTCCCTGCCTCCCCATGTCTCCCGGACCCCTCCCTTCACTTACCTTCCCGTATGATCCATTTTTTTAGTTCTGCACCGCTCCCACCTCCCTTTCCCCCCCAGGTCGCACCTCCCTTCCCCCCCCAGGTCGCACCTCCCTTTCCCCCCCAGGTCGCACCTCCCTTCCCCCCCCAGGTCGCACCTCCCTTCCCCTCCAGGTCGCACCTCCCTTCCACTCTTTCTATCTCCTCCCTCCCCTCTCCCCCTTCTTTCCCTCATGTCCCCTCCTCCTTCCCCCCATTTCCCCCCTCCAACCCCTCATTACCATCCCTCCTTCCCCTCGTTTCACCCTTTTCTTCCGCAGTTCCCCACTACTTTCTCTCCTGGTTTCCCCCCTACGCCCTTCCGCCACCCGCGCCTGCAGCCGCGTGACCGACACGGAACCGCCAGCTGCGCGTTTGACGAAGTGCCGGGATGCGCACATTCACATGCCAGCGCCTTCCAGCATCCCTCCCGACCTCTTCCTCTCCTCCCATTCCTCTCTGTCCTCCAATAGTGGTGAGTGCGCTCGTGGTGAGTGAGGTGGCATGAGTCCCGTCGCAGCAATGTGTGTGCGAGAGGCATAGGCGTGGCGGGTGCGGGTAGTGGGAGGGAAGTGCATCTGGAACTCACCTGCGCTCACACGCACCCGTGAATCCCCTTCTCCTCTGCCCGTTCCTTACCCACCGGACTTGCACATCTAACTCATGCCCCCCCAACTCTCTCCCTCACTCCCCCTTCCTTTTCCCCATCTTTCTCCCTCCTCTTGCCCTCCTTTTCCTCCCTTTCTTCTGTTTCCCCTCTGTTCTGCCTTCGCTCCCCCTTCACCCCCCATCCTCTGCCCTTCCTTTCCCCCTCCTTTCCCCCTCTTTCCCCACTCCTTTTCCCTTGCTGCAGCTATCAGAGCTGCGGAGCTGCCTTCCTTTAGGGCATGGGCGGGGATGCAGGCAGGAGTGGCCTCTCCACTCGCCCTGCCTACACACGCACTGCACAGCCTCTCCTCCTTCCTACCTGTTTGGGCCTGAGTTGACTGCAGCAAGACAAGGCATAGCATGAGTCTCACCACTCAGCTGTTCAGTGTTGCAACAGAGGGAGACCACAACAAATACCCACACACAGACCAATGCCATTATTACATGTAAAACCCTAAATATATTCGTTATTCTGTGAACAACCCACGGTACTAGTATTTGATGTTATGATACGGCAAGGGAAGACACCACACTATCCTAAATCTAACTACCGGTAACTTGTCTGTTTGGTTGCATCATGCATGATGAGCTGCACCACAGAACAAAGGGCAGAGAGGGAAGAGAAATCAGAAAGGGAATAAAAATCAGGGAGGGAAGAGAGAACAGGGAGGGAAGAACAATTAGGGAGGAAAGAGAAATAAGGGAGGGATGAGAGGGCAGAGAGGGAAGAGAGAATAGGGAGGGAAGAGAGGACATGGAGGGAAGAGAGGACAGAGAGGGAAGAGAGGACAGGGAGGGGAGAGAGGACAGGGAAGAGAGGACAGGGAGGGGAGAGAGGACAGGGAAGAGAGGGCAGGGAGGGGAGAGAGGACAGGGAAGAGAGGGCAGGGAGGGGAGAGAGGACAGGGAAGAGAGGAGGCCCAGAAACGTTTTACCCGCAGCAGGAGAGCGGGGATCTTGCCTGCGGAGAGGGAGGGAGGTAATGGGAGTGAGGGAAGGTAAGTGTGACAGCAGAAAGCGACTCGCATCGAGCAATGAGCAACGAGCAACGCCGGTTCTGCGACGACCGAGGCAGAGTGGAAGCTGCGACACCAGCCGACTAGCGGCGTGAGTCGCGCTTCGAGCCGCAGGCGGAAGGCGACGCGGAACGCGACAAAGAGGGCCAAGGGCGAGCATTAGACGAGGAATAAAATCAACATGGCGATGAATGGTGACTTGAATGGCGCTACGATCGGCCAGCGACGAGGAGCGGAGAGGCGGATATCGGGGAGCTGAAAACGACGAGATCACCGCCTTGTTGCAAGCGAAAGCAACGAGGCGAAAGCGGCGAGGAGAAAGCGACGAGGCAAAAGCGTAGAGGCAACCGCGAAGAGGAGTTGTTGACGAGGCGAAAGCGATGTGGCGAAAGCGACGAGGAGAAAGCGACGAGGCCAGAGCGAAGAGGCAAAAGCGACTTTACGAAAGCCCCTACCCTAAGCGCGGCAGCCCGCGGCGACGCTGAAAGCAGGGAGGACGACGGGTACGCAGCGCGGCGACGAGACAAGCAGAACGCGACGATGAGCGCAGAGCAGAAGTCGACGGATTGCGTTGGGAAAATGCGGCAGAGAGCGCGGAGAAGAAAGGGGGATTGGAGAGCACGGAACAGCAAGTGGTTGGCGGCCAATGCGGACGGAGTCGCTAGAACGCAGTGGCAGGGATGGGCGTCGCTGGTTTTCATTGGCGACTAATATCTGTAAACTACGTATTGGAAGCTGGTTGTCGAGTGGAAGTCTGGCTCTCAGTTTTGGTATACAAACTCAAACAGAGTGGGTCAAGTTCTAACCTGAACCCCCAGGCCCCCCCCTCCACCCCCCTCGATTGTTCGTTTCTCCGCAGGGGGTCCTTGGAGGGACAAAGTTACCCTGTTTTCAAGTGATAATCCTTCCCTCACCGCTCCAAGTATGTAGACCGCAGCTTTAAGTTGCGGTAGACTTCGCGAGGGTAAGGGCGCGGGCGTCCTTCTTCATCGAAGGTTCCGATGTTTGCTTCCAAGATCCAGCGGAGGGTTTCTGCGCGGGGCGTTGGGCGCTCTTGACGTCGTTGTCCAAGCCTTTCATTTTCTTCCCCGAAGATACGGTGAGTAGTGACGGCGAGCTCCATTTCTGTCATACCTGTAGGTTCGGCCTCGGCGCTCTCCGCCTCTTGAATCGCCGTCAGATTTTTCTCAATTTCGTCTGTGCGGCTTGCCGTGGGTGTGAAGCAGGTGGTGCAGATGCCGTCAGGACCGGGTTGATGAAGATTAATTTCTTCACGGTGGGGACTGCGGCGAATCCACGGTCGTCCGTCCGGATGCTGCCATGATTCCATGCTCATGTATGGAAAATCCAGGGGGACGAGGTCCACGAGCTCGTCGGATGATGCCTGGCAGTTGGGGATATCGAAGTCGAGCACGTAAATGCCGTTGAGCGAGCGGGCTCTTCTGAGGTATTTGTGCGATTCGACGGGCGTGTCTGGAGGGGCGTAGGTGAGGATGAGATCGCGCGTGTCTGGATCCGTAGCGAGCATTACTCCACACCACAGTCTCGGAGTTGTCCTGCCGATAGGAGGTTAAAGCGGAGGTCCGGCACGTAGAGCACATCGTTGAACGTAATGTGCGTCTTGCTGTCTCGGGCTTGCAACACCACGATGCCTTGCGCATTTGCGCGCAGTTGCTCGTTGTTGGCGACGGTGACGTAGGTGGCGGGAGCGCGGCTGATGTTTGAGATGTAGCGGACAGACCCCACCATGTGCTGCCCGCAACAGCTATCCAGGTACCAAGTGTTATGGTTGTCGACGTTGTTGTTGCGTAGAAGGAGAGTGAGCCGCGGTGTCACCAGAGTCGCTTGAGGCCCTTGTGCTTGTTGTTGCTGTTGTGCAGGAGGGCGTGAAGCTTGCTGCTGAGGCTGAAAATGACGAGTGTCTTGTCGGCCGACCCAATTGTTGTGGTGAGTGGAATTCGGGTGGCGATTGTTAGACCGGAACTTGCATCGGTCCGTTGAATGTCCGAAGACTTTGCAGATTTTGCAGTAGTGGCGCCTTGGCTGTCATCGCACATCACGGTTGTCTGTGTAGAAGGCGAGGCGCTCTCGGCGAGGCGCGGAGCTTGTCCTGCTCGAATCCATATCATGCTGTTCAGTCAGGAGGGCGGCGCATAGCGCGGCTTCAGAGATAATTCCTCGTTGTCGGAGTAGCGCTTTGCAGGGCTTCCACTCTGGCCCGAGTCCTTGGAGGACGATATTGACGAAGATCTCCTCCGAAATGGCGCTTCCATGCTTCGTGATTTGGTCACGAACATTCCGACAGCGGTTAACATATGAGTTTACTTTCTCCCCGTGCCCCATCTTGGTCTCCATGAGTTGTTGCAGGAGCCTGCTGGCGGTGACCGAATCCTTCGGTTGATACACCTCAACGAGATGCTTCCAGGCTTCCAAGGCTGGAGCAACGCTCTCTTTGTAGGAGCGAATGCTGAGTTGTTCCGCAGGCGTCATGTTGCGTAGCAACACACTGTACGCCATGAGGGACTCGCTGTAGTACTGAGTCCTGGCGTCTTCAGTGTCTTCCACCGGTTTTGCGTAGGAGCCGTCGAAGTAATGGTAGATCTGCGCTGTTTCTAGGAGGAGCTCAAGCTCGAAACTCCAAGTGTAAAAATCCTTGCCGTCAAACGCGGTAGTAGTCTTAATTTTTGAAACGCTGAGGAAGCGTGCTTGCGCAGAGTTAATGACTTCATCACTTGGACGGGGGGCAGCTGTTGTTGATTTGTCTGTGTCGAGGGAGAAGGTGTGCGCGGCAGTATCACGGCTTTTCGCAGCCGGTTGTCCAGGTTGAGCTGGTTGGGAAGAGGTTCCCGCATCGCCTTTGCGCAATTCTTGGAGGTCTTTCTCCATAGTTGATAGTCGCGAAAATAACTGCTCGAGTGCGGCAGTGCTGATCGTGGTTGTCGCCTCATTTGTCGCAGCCGGGTTAGTTTGTCCTTCGGCCGTCAGATTTGCTTGGCCTCCGGATCCTCCGGCCATCTTGGTCTTGGAGCGTGTGCCGCTCACCAGATCTTGATTCGACGAATTTCACGGAAGTGAAGTTGCGAAGAATCCCTGAGTTGCTCTCAGGGTACATTCCGCTGTGGACACTTTCTCAAAGAAAGTGTCCGAATCACTTTTGGCCCGAGTCGCCCTCTAATGTGTCGGAACTTCATGTCCCAATCGATCGATGTACTGCGACCCACGGCGACCTCGCGAACAATTTTGTGTGAAGGAATGTGATTGGTCCGTTGTGTGAGTTGCCCACTCAACCTGCGCGTCACACGCACCTGGGCGGAAGGTCTGTGGGCGTGAAATGAGCGGGATGGTCAATAAATCCGAAGGTGCCTTGTGTGGCCAATCACGTTTCAGGGTACGCGTAGCTACTGAATCCGTCCCTATAGAATGATGACCAGGTACATTCAGCATGGATTGACATTTCGCACCGCGTGCGATGGCTGATGTGTGTTGAGTTGGCGTGCAATTAGGTTGTGATAGTTCTGCGTTTCATGCCACCCAATGAAAAATACTTTTTGCGACAAACAAGAGCGGTCCGGAATTCGGACACCTGGCAGCATATGCTGTAACTTCATGTCCCAATCGATTCAGACACTTTCTTTGAGAAAGTGTCCAGAGCGGAATGTACCCTCATACCATGTTTTAATCCCAAGTGGGACTTTAGCGAAGGATCGCTCAGGGTTGATCGCAGGGTAATGTTGCAGCGGAAGTAGTGAACTCAGGTCAGAGTGAATGTAAATGACTGAGATTGATAATAGCATGCATATATTGAGTTTATATAGGAAATACAAAGGAATACGAAACGACCTAGGCTAGCCATGTACTCTAAGGGGTACATTCCCTTATTACAGCGAGGTTCAAACCGAGCGGCGCGGGAACCCGTTTCAAACCTGTTCCCGCTCTTTTCACTTCGAATGTTTCTGGCTGCATCGGTCTTGATCAGACGGTTACCAGTGTCGCTTCGACTCTTCTGACTCCTCGGCTTCGTACACTTTAGAGTCGGTCCCTGCAGCATACAGGAATGCCTTCTCGTAAAGTTTCATATTGTAACACCAATCACCGTTGCGGCGGCAAGCAAACATGGTGCCAGCATCTGTAATTCAATAAACCAGTTGCTGCTGCTGCCAGGGAGGGTGGGATTGGTGCTGCTGGCGGTGGGGGTAGCTGGGCACACTCAAGGTGGCGGAAAGTACGGCGCCAGTCCATGATTTAATACACCAGGTGCTGCTGCTGGCAGGGAGGGCTGGCAAGGCAATGCCCTGTGAGTACTGGTGTGCTAGCATATCCGATCCGAATCCATCTCATTGAGTGGCAGCAAAGACGGCGCTGCACCAGCATCCGTGGTATGATCCACCTCATGCTACCCGCAGCAGCAGCAGCAGCAGCAGCAGCAGCAGCAGCAGCTGCATGAGGTGCTCAGCATGCACCTCATGCTGCTCCTGGCAGGAAGGGCGGCAGTGGTGCTGCTGGCACAGGTGGAAACCTGGTGCTCTGAGTCGTATCTAATGAGTGGCGGCAAACACGGCACCGGTATCTGAGATTTGATACACCACATGTCACTGCTGGCAGGGAGTGTGGTGGTGTGGTGTGTAATCTTTGCAAGCTCATGGTGTTCTGATCTGAGTGTGAAGTATTGAGTGGCAGCAAACACGGTGCCGGAATCCATGATTTGATACATTACGTGTTACTGCTGGCAGGGAGAGTGGCAGTGGCGCTGCTTGCAGTGGTGGTAAGCTAGCACCCTCAACGTGTTTCTGAGTGTTATCTACTGAGTGGCAGCAAACACAGCACCAGTGTCTGAGATTTGATACACCAGTTGCTGCTGCTGGCAGTGGTGGCTGGCAGGGTGTCCTGTGAATGCCCTACTACCGTAACTCTGCACCCTTGTAAAACATCTGAATCCTTCCTACTGAGTGGCAGAAAACAAAGCGCCAGTGTCCGCGATTTGATACACCAGGTGCTGCTGCTGGCAGGGAGTGGGGTGTGAGTCATTCCCGTGCGATGGGCTGTTCAGCAGCATGGGTGTGAGATGCACGATGTCCGCCTGGCATGGCAAAGAAGGGGAGAGAGAGAGTACAGGGTGCAGGAAGAGGAGGAAACGTCAGCTGCTGGCAGGGAGTGGGGTGTGTGCCATCCCCGTGCGATGGCTCGTGCAGCAGCGTGGGTGTGAGATAAACAATGTCCGCCTGGCATGGCAAAGGGAAGGAGCGAGAGGGCAGGGAGTATGGGGAGTGAGCGACAGTGCTGCATCATCCCCGTATGATGGGTTGCTCAGCAGTGTTCGTGCGTGTGAGATAAGCACTGTTCACCTGGCACGGCAGGAGGGGAAAGTGGGGAATGGGAGCAGGAAGGGCGGGGAGGTTAGCGTGTATCATCTGTGTATGATGGGCTGCTGTGCCGCAACGTGGCTTCTGAAGTCGACTCATTAAGTCAGCCCGTGCAGCAGTGAGCGAGTGGGCGGGGGGGAGGAGGGAGAGTAGGGAGTGAATGGGAGCGAGGGAGTGTGAAGGGCGTATGAGGATATAGGGGATATGCACAAGTATTTAACAATTATTAGTATGTTCTTACAGGTGTATTTCCTTCTCCTGTGCAAGCAGTAGCGCTGCGTACAGAGATATTCAAGCAACAGAAGGGTAAGAGGTAGCGAGGCTAGTTGATGTATGGTGGGAGCTGCTCTTTACACCCTCACCTGCCCATGAACACCCTCACCTACCCGTGAACACCCTCACCTACCCGTGAACACCCTCACCTGCCCGTGAACAACCTCACCTGCCCGTGAACAACCTCACCTGCCCGTGAACAACCTCACCTGCCCGTGAACAACCTCACCTGCCCGTGAACAACCTCACCTGCCCGTGAACAACCTCACCTGCCCGTGAACATCGGATGCATGGCCTGACGTTAGTGGCCTCAGCAGCACGAGCACGTCAGAGGAGTGGAGTAGCCAGGGCAGGAAAGGGGGAGGGGCAACGAGGGAAAGGGCGGAGGGATATCGAACCACTCTTACCTGCCCATGGACGTCCGAGGCATGGCCTGATGTAAGTGGTCTCAGCAGCACAAGCACGTCAGAGAGGTGGAGCAGCCAAGGCAGGAATGGGGGAGAGGCGATCGGGGAGGAAGAAGAGGAGGAAAGGGTGCGGAGTGGCGGTGGTGGGGTTGCAGCAAAGGTGAAGTTGGTTGGATGAACGGCTGAATGGGTGAGAAACACGACAGAGGCCCTCTGGAAGGTAGGGGGGGAGGATGGGAGGAAACATGATGCTAAAAGAGTGAGGAAAAGAGGTTGTAAGGACGGGTTGGGTATGGGAGTGATTTGCAAAGGAACGGTGGTGGAAATGAGTGTCCATGCCACCTGATCTGTTAAATTAACATGCTTAGAGTGGAGTGCTTACATGCTTTGTTCATAGTTGTGCTTCGTGTGCGTGCATGGATTAATAAATGTGCAAACATGAGGAAACATGATGCTATGTGTGCAGATACAAAGTTAAGAATGCTTACATGGTGCTTGGTGCACAGGCCACGGCACGCCGAGAGAAAGTCCATAACCAGCCGAGAATCGCCGCCCGCGCACGTCTCCAGCAGCGACACGTCATCAATTACAATGCATAGCTGGCCACCGCATCGAGCCGGGGGTGCCACGTCAGCAGCCCCAGATGGTGATGGTGACGTGGCAGCTCCCGCACCAGAACCAGCAGCATCATCAGCAGCAGGTTGAGTTGTGGCAGGGGGAGCAGTTTGGGAAAGAGGTTCAGTAGGGTGGGAAGGGGGTTGAGAGGGGTGAGACGGGGTATGGGCTGGTTGGGAGGAGTGGGGGCAGCCAAGGGAGGTGACAGCAGCGCAGATGGATGAGTAGAGGCCGCGGAGGGGGCTGGCATTCGCAGAGTGAGGCGGGTAACCATTGATGGGGAGTGTCTGGGAGGGCGGGTGAGGGGGAGGAGAAAAGGGGACTGGTGGAGAGAAACGGTACACTCCTGCCTGCTGCTGCTGCTGCTGCTGAAGTGGCATTTCCTTTTGCTGCTGGTCCTGATGCGGCATCTCCTTTTGCTTTTCTTGCTGCAGACACACACGTGGATGATCTAAGCCATCAGGCTGCCACGTGTAGGCCTGTGATTGGCCGTCAATGATGGCCAGGCGATGCTGCCTGCAGAGGTCCGTGAAGTGAACGCCCTGCGAGGAGGAGGAGGAAAACGAGAGGAGAGGGAGTGGGAAAAGGAGAGGAGAGAGAAATGGAGTGGAGGGAGCAGAATTGAGGAGAGCAAAAGAGTGGCAGTGAAGAGAGACGAGAGGTAATTTTCCAATTTCTGGTCGGTCAACAACGACAGCAAACAAGTAACAGTTGTAGACGTCACGTCAGCCATATGCAAGCTCAAACAAGGAACAGAAACACCACAAGGGAGCTACGTGTGTGTGTGTAGTAGCGCTTGTTGAGTAGAGTCGACTCAAACATCGTCTCGCGGTGGTTTCAACTTTCACGTCCGTGCATTGCATGCACATGACGTGGGCCATGCTACTTCCCTTCCTACATCTGCATGCATGCAGCCATGCATGAGACCTCACCATGTTTCTTGCAAATCTCCCATGCGTGAACGCATCATCTCCTTGCGTCCCTTCCTTACTTCCCTAGAAATGCACCCATGCATAAACCTCACCATTCGCCTTGCAATGTGACTGTAATGAGCGGGAGGGTGCGCCAATGCAGCCAGACACACCGTCCTCTCACACCCCTCCCCGCCTCCCCTGCACCCTTCCTCACAACCCCCCCAATACCCACCCGTGTTGCTGCGCATAGCACCTCACCATTCGCCTTGCAATGTGACTGTAATGAGAAGGAGGGTGCGCCAATGCAACCAAACACACCGTCCTCACACACCCCTCCCCGCCTCCTGCGCACCCGCCCTCCCCCTGCTCCTCCCCCCGCCTCTCCCCCGCCCCTCCCCCCTGCAGGGGCGGAGACAGCAGGTGCGACTTCAGCAGATGCAGCAGCAGGAAGCTTCCTTCCGCTGCCACGTCATCACACAGCAGGAGGGCGGCACCGGGCGGCACCGATCCCGACGCGGAAATCCCGAGGTGTGGGTTGATGGGGGAGATGGGGAAGCCTGCCAACACTGGGATAAGAGGCGAGAAGGGGTGGGAGGGGGGGGGGGGGGGAGGGGGAGGGAGGAGTGTGGGGGCGAATGGATGAGGAAACGAGAAAAGGGAGGAGATCCCAAGGTGGGGGTTGATGGGGAAGGTGAGGAAGCTTGTTAGCACTAAAACAGCTAGGGGCGATAGCGGGAAGGGGTGGAAAGGAAATGAGTGAAGGGGTAAGGGGATGGAGATCCCAAAGTGCGGATTGATGGGGGACGTGGGGGGAGGGGGGAGTGACGGGTGGAGAGTGGAGGGGAAGGAATGAGCGTGGGGTTGTGGGGGAAGGCGCTCCTGAGGTGCGAGTTGATGGGGGATCTGGGGGAGAGGGGGGATGAGGGAGAAGAGGGGGGAAAGGGGGAGGAGGGGGATTGTGGAGGGAAATGAGGGTCGGGAGGAAGGGGGGGGGCGGGGTGCGGGGTACCAGGAGATCCCGAGGTGCACGTTGATGGGGGCGGTGGGGAAGCCTGCTAGCACTGGAATAATCGTAAGAGATAGGGGCGGGGAGCGAGGGGAGGAATGGACGACGGGGAGTCTAAGGGGAAGGAGAACGTGGGGAAGCGCCAGGAATGAAACAGCCAGGAGGGGTGGGGGATGGGGGGGGGGGCGGGGGGAGGTAGAGGGAGAGTCCGAGTTGAAGGCTAATTGGGTACGTGGGGGGTGGGGCCGGGAATGTGGGGAGTAAGGGGAGGGGCGGGGCGAGGTAGAGGGAGAGTCCGAGTTGAAGGCTAATTGGGTACGTGGGGGGTGGGGCCGGGAATGTGGGGAGTAAGGGGAGGGGCGGGGCGAGGTAGAGGGAGAGTCCGAGTTGAAGGCGGATGGGAGAGCGGGTACACGAAGTGGGGAGTGCAGGATTAGGGCGAAAGGGGAAAAGTGGGTGGGGCATTGTGCAGGCTGCGTGGACGGCAGGCATGGCGACTCACTATTAGCGGACATGCTCTGATTCGCTCTGGCGCGTTTTAGCGCGCTCTGGTGCGCTGGTGCGCCTGCACGAATGCCGAGCTGGTGCTATGCTGGGCTCTCATGCGCTCTGGAGCGTTTAGGCGCGCTTTAGCGCGCTCTGGTGCGCCTGCCCGAATGCGGAGAGGAGATTCGAGCGGAAATGCCGCAGCAGCAGCGCCCCGCACGCGCGTCAATCGACTGCCTGCAGGGGGGCGGGGCGACCGGAGCCTCCGCCCGACGACGCTGAGCGGCACGCGCGCAGCTACGCGCGCATGCAGCTGTGTGCGCAGCTCGGCGCGCAGCCGCGCGGTCGGACCGGGGCGATGAGGAGGCGCGGTGGGCTAGGCGGGCGGGGTGGGCGGCGACGAGGTGGCGCGGAAGGATGGCGCGCCGAGTGGCGGAGGGGACGGGGGGGTGAAGGCGGAAAAAAACTGCGCGGAATGGCGGGTGGTGGTGCCTGGCGACAAGCACTGGTGCATATACGATTCAATGATGACCATATATATTGGTGTACCGGGTACCTTCTATCGAAGAACAGGTTTCAGGGGAAGGTACTCCCTGCTCTCTGCTTTGACATTCACTATGTGCGCCACGCGCAGATGCAACTTCAATTACAGTGAATCCACAAATCATGAACCATATATACACTATATACAAAATGCACAGCATTATCTGGCTGAATCAGCAGCAGTCACATCTGTCAGCTCTCAAGCCTCCACTCAACGACACTTTCTTTCTGCGGAATCACCTCCACAATCGTCCTCCACTCCTTCCCTCCATCTCTCACCACCACTTCGTACTCCCCTGCAAACCCCTCAACCACAAACCACCCCTCCTCATCCGTCCTCCCCACCACACCCCTTGACGTCCATTCCTCTAGCAACCTTTCCATCTCTCCCGCCTCCGTCAACGACCAATCAGAACGCACCAAGTGTGCGTTTTTCCTCGACATGGACGGTCGATCCGGGCCGGAACCTTCCCAAAAACCCCATAGCACCACCCCTTCTACTCCCCCATGCCCAAACGCCTCTCTTAGACAAATCTCCAAATCATCCGCCCTCACTTTTTCGACTATAGAGCTCACATCTAACTCTGTAACCCAAACTGGTAACCCTACATCTGCCATTATACTCCAAGCATGCCGCATGTGGGCGCCAACTGGCGCGCTGATGTGGCACTGCGTGCCGAGCCCGCCAACTGGCGCCCCGCTGGCGATGAGCTCGCGGGCGAACTGCGCGTACTTTTCCGGGCGGCTCTTTTCGTCCTCGCCGTCCTCTATGTGGTACTCGTTGAGGAAAAGGACGAGAGGGGGCGCGATCTGGGCGGCGAACTGGAACATGCGGGGGATGATTGATGGGCCGCAGCGGGAGGAGAAGAACCCCCCGTGAAGCATCTCGTTGTTGACATCCATGTGAGCGAAACAGTTGGGATAGCGGGTGAGGAAAGACGTGATTCTGCTGTCAATGGCTTCTGTGTAGGGAGGAGGGGTGGGATAGGGGAGGTATGGGAGAAGATTAGCTTGGGCACAGCGGGAGGAGAAGAATCCCCCGTGAAGCATCTCGTTGTTGACATCCATGTGGGAGAAACAGGTGGGGTAGTGGGTGAGGAACGACATGACTCTGTTGTCAACAGCTTCTGCTTACAGAAGGGTGGGTGGGATGGGGGGAGGACAGGAAGAGAAGATGAGAATGGGCCTGCAGTGGGATGAGAAGAACCCTCCGTGGAGCATCTTGTTGACATCCATGTGGGCGAAGCAGTTTGGGTAGCGGGAGAAGAACAGCGCAATTTTGTTGCCAGTGGCATCTGCATAGGGGGAAGCCGGAAGACAATGACCTAGCCTTGTACAGAGTTTATCGGCCTAGCCCTGTACCATCTGTTTGTCTTGCGCATGTGCAGCTTCTCTCACTATCATCACACCTTCAAGCAACAGGGCATTTATGGTTGGAGCGACAGGGCAATGATAATAGACGCACCTTTGATGCAGAGAGCAAGGATAGTCGGGTCACCTTTGAGGTCCTTAAGGGAGAGTCCATCGACCCAAGGTGGGCGCATGTTGTCCCAAAAGAGACAATGCGCTCTCATCGCCACTCCATGCTCCTGCGTGCACGCACATATGCGCACACGCACGCACAGGCACGCTCACACACATACAGGCACACATACAGACAGACATGCATAATGAGCCGTACTCATGCCATAGTTCTCCTAGTTCTAGAAACAATGCTCTCCTCTCCCTTTGCCTTGGCCCCCCGCCTCCCCCACTATCACACAAACCTACATCCATGCCACCATGGCGGAAGAGCAGGGAAAAAAAGGAAAAAACAAAAAACTAAAAACAAACAAACAAAAAAAACATAACGCAAAAAAGAGGAAAGAAAAAAGATTGCATGCTTCTCACTGCTCTTCCGCTAAGAGTGACAACACACACACATATACACCTGCAACTGCAACCGTCACCATCTCCATCACCACTCACTCACACACACACACACACACTCACACACACACACGCACACACATACACACTCACACGCACACACAATAACTCACACACTCACATACACACACACACACTCACACACACACACACACACACACACCTGCATCCATGCCACCATGGCATCGGCGTCTCTCCAGTCCTCCTCGCCCCGCCTCGCCTCCACACTCGTCCACTTCAGCTCGTTCTCACACACGCCCCAACTGAACCACGCCCCACTCGACCTGCTTCCCTTTCCCTCGGGGGAAAGCTGCAAGGCATGTCCGCTGCAGGGAGTTTGTGCACCCGTTCTGCTTCCCTCTCTCTGCGGCAGGAAGTAGGACTGGTAGCGGGGGTTCCCCAGCAGGTCTCTCGCGTTCACACAGGTGCCCAGGGGGAAGGCACGGCGCGTCTGATTGGCTGACACGTGGGCGCACGGGATTGGCTGGCCGGCAGCGGAGAGGAGGCGGAGACGCAGTGACCCCTTGCGGAGCTGATGGGGGAAAGAGGGGTGTGTGTGGGGGGGGGCAAAGGTTTGTGGTGGGAGGAGAGGGCATGTAGGCATGTCGGAGAGAGAGGGGGTGTAGGAAAAAGAGAGGGAGTGTGGGACGGGGAGAGGGGGTGTGGGTGGGAAGGGGCGGAGGGGGTGTGGGAGAGGTAAGGGCCTGGGAGCACAAGTCACACGCTACATTGAGCAACCCCTATCCACCCCTCTCCATCCCTCTCCACCCCTCCCCACCCTTCCCTACCTCTCTCCACCCCTCTCTATCACTCTCCACCGCTCACCACCACTCACCCTGTCTGCTTGCTCTCGCAGCCATGGAACCCTCTCCCGCCACTCCACAGGCACCACGCGCATGTCGGCCAATAGGATGCTGACACCTGGCGGCGGGCCCTGCACGTACAGCACTGCTTGCCCGTACGGCTTCTCCAGGCGAAACGACCCCCAGCACCGCACCCACTCCTTCCCGGAAGCTTCCACAGTCCCTGCATTTACCCACCCCCCATCCACCCCCAATGCTATATTCACTTGGTGGGATCCCACCCTTCCCTCAGTTCCTTCTGCCTCTTTCTCCTCCGTTTCTTCTGCCCCTCCTTCCTCTCCTCTTTTTTCCTTTCTAGCAAAGAGGGAAAGAATTTTCTGTTCTCCCTGCCCGCGCTCTTTGTGCTGTCTGTCTCTCCCCAAACGCACCCACGCGCTCACAGCATACGTCACAAACAGCCGAATCGGCCCACCGTCGGCGCCACCGTCATTCTGGGCGGCGGCAGCAGCAGCAGTGCTGCTTCCATGGCTGTGATTGCCCACTGCAATGTCCTGAGCTGGACCATGCCACGTGGCAGTCCTACCTGTCACTTCCACATAGGCACCTGTGGGTCCTCCTGCCAGAAAGACCGAGGAGGCAGACTGAAGCAGAGGCATAACCGGATGGCTTGATGCCATGTGATCGTGTTGCAGTTGCACAGGGTAAGAGTGTTGCTTTTTCAGCTGTTTCTGTTGCTGCTGCTGCTGCCACTGTGCGTGCAGCTGCATCTGTTGCCGCTCAAACACGGTGCAGGGATGAGCGGCGGGCAGGGAGGATGGCTCCACTGGTGGACCAATCACAGAGCCCCACGGGCACGGGGCGTGCCACGTCAGCACCTCGCAGCCACCCATGGGCCGCCAGCTGGCAGTGCGGAGGGAGAAATCGCCATTGAGGAGGAGATTGGGGCGAGGGGAGTGGTGGGGAGGGTGGAGAGGAGGGGACGTGGGGCATGGCGGGACAGTTGCTGCTGCTGACACCTTTGGAGCAGCAAAAGGAGCGAGAGGAGTGAGAGTAGGAGCAATTGAAAGAGGTGTAAGAGGAGGAGGAAAGTTCATAGCAGCAGGGGTGGCGGGTGGAAGAGGGGGAAAAGTGGGCTGTGGGTCAGAGGCTGGGACTATAGCAAAGAGGCTGATAAGGAGGTCGAAATTGGGAGGGGGACCCTCGATGTAGGCTGTTACCTGGTGGGGGCGATGATGGGAAGAACGGGGAAAGAGGGTGTGTATGGGATGAAGATGTGGTGTGACGTGGTGAGGTGCGGTACAGATGGGAGGATGAAAGGGGGACCCTCGATGTAGGCTGTTACCTGGTGGGGGCGATGATGGGAAGAACGGGGAAAGAGGATGTGTATGGGATGAAGATGTGGTGTGACGTGGTGAGGTGCGGTACAGATGGGAGGATGAAAGGGGGACCCTCGATGTAGGCTGTTACCTGGTGGGGGTGATGATGGGAAGAACGGGGAAAGAGGGTGTGTATGGGATGAAGATGTGGTGTGACGTGGTGAGGTGCGGTACAGATGGGAGGATGAAAGGGGGACCCTCGATGTAGGCTGTTACCTGGTGGGGGCGATGATGGGAAGAGGGGAGAGAGAGGGGCGCGAATGCGATTGGAGGAGGATGGGCGGAAGGGATGGGGGGAGGGGATGGGAGGAGGATCCTCGATGTAGGCTGTTACCAAACGGGGGAGATGAGTGTATGAACGTGGAAAACGATGCGTATGGCATGCGATGGGGTGCGGATGGGAGGAGGCGACCAGGCCATAGGAACAGCGAATGGGCGAAAAGGGGTGAATGATAGCGTGCTGCATTGCATTGTGTGTTGCCGTGTCGTGCCACTCTCACCCCGTTCGCTCCTTCTCATGCCCCTTCGCGTGGACTTCTGAGACGTCTCAAACTCATCATGGTTCCTCACCTGAGCAATTTGTAATGAGTCTGTTTTTTAGTCGACTCAAAAACAGACCCATTACACGCGTATCATGGTTCCTGACCTGTGCATTTTTTAGATGTCTGTGATTTTAATGCACTTCACCTTGACTTTTTAAAACACACGGCGTGTGCGGTGCTGCTCTGACAAAGTTTGCTCCGCCCCCATAGCCCTTTGCTTGGAACCTCGTTTGAGAATTCTCAAAAGAGACTCCAATATAACTGCTCTGACAAAGTTCGCTCCAACTCATAGCCCTTCACTTGGACTAGCTTACCTGCCTTATAAACCCACTTTGTGTGGAATGCGGTGGGGGGCGGTGAAGTGCCCTTGCAGCCTCACCCACTCGCCCTCTTTCACCATGGCCCTGTTAGGGAGCAAGTCACAATGACACAGGGTGTTATGACGTGCGCTCGCATGCATACAAACATGCGAACACATGCACACATATACCTGGGCACACATGCACACGCATGCACAGACACATGGACACACACACGCACGCATGTACGCCCGGGCGTGCGCGCATGCTATACCCCTTCTCCTCCTCCCCTCCTCCCCCCCCCCCGCCCCCCCGCCTCCCCCCCCCCCAAAACACACACACACATGCACACATGTATGCACACCCACACACGCACAGGGACATACGGACGAACCTGCATGCTTGCTTGTATTGAGAACCTTCATCAAAATCCCATCGAACTGTCACAAGCACCCGTACGGCCTCCCTCCCTAACTCCTCTCCCACCTCCCTCCCTGCTCCTCTCCCTCCCACACCTCCTCCTGCCACCGCTGCAGCTGCTGTTGATCCGCCAGAGTCCCTCACGCTGACGTCAGCGGTGACACTGTAGCGGCAGTCGGGCGTAAGACGCGAGTGAATGTCCTATGCCATGCCTTGCCATGCCTCTCTGCGGCCCACCACCACCGCTGCGCACCGCTGCACACCGAGTTGACTTGGAATGTCCTGCGCCATGCCGTGCCACGCCTTCTCGCGTGATGCACTCTCGCTCATCACGAGGCGGCACGTGTCGTCGCCGCCTCGTAACGCGTACCACGCATGGAGCCCGTCCTCAAAGAACGGGTTCCGCGTCGCCCACGAATCCACAGCCATGTGCTGCCACGTGGCAGCAGCCGAAACGATCGTACCGATAGACTGGCCTAGTATTATCGACACTGGCCAAGACACCGTTCCGAAAAACTCTATTGAGGCTTCTGCAAGTATACACCACAGCTTACAATCAGTGCGTCAGGCTCACAGACGCCAATGTTCCTTGAAAGCGCCTATGCATCATTCAACCACCATGCGCGTTGCATTCTGGCAGAAGATGAAGCATTGCTCACAGTCGGCCATTAGCGTCTTGCCACGGGGAGCATGCAAGGGGGTCAGGCAGAAGTCCCTGAGTGGGTAGGCTACATCACCCACTAGTTGGTACGGGGCGATGTCCCCTCTCTGTAACCTTTCATGTAGTGTATTAAGCACAAATATTCTCTGATTGTGCGCACTCCCGGGATACCTTATGAGGTAATCCCATATGACCCCTGTGTCAACGGGAGCTGTGGTTGGCCCCGTCCTCGCTTGGGCGAAGCCGACTTCGTGGTCGGGTGTGCGGGAGGTGCAACCGACTTGTAGTAGTGGGCGACGCCGACTTGGGCGAGCTGGTCGACGGGCTAGGTCGACCTGCACGGGGGCCACTGCTGAGCTGCCGACGAGGGGAGCCGGCAGCCGACTTCGACCCGGTGGTCGACGAGGGGAAGGGCGCCGACCTCGGAAGGCGCCGGCGCCGACGTCGACCTGAAGGTGGCGCTGACTTTGGAGGATGCCGAGTTCGGGTGATCGACCTGGCGAGGTCGATCACGGAGGCGTCGACTTGGGGACGCCGACCTGGGGCAGCCGACTTGGTGTGGTCGGCTGACAGCTGGGCTGGTCGACCGGGAGTTGGTCGGCCAGGGGTGTGGTCGACTTGGTGTGGTCGACCAGAGGTGGTCGTCGACTTGGGTGGTCGACGAGCACGAGGAGAAGCTGCCTGGTCGGCGTGGTTGCCCGGTTGACCAGGTTACCCGGGCGACGGGTTCTGCGGAGGCCGACCTCGGTGGTGGTTTCCCGAGGTCGACGTGGAGGATCGGGTGCGGACGTGGGCCGTGGTCGTCGTGGCGACTGCGCTGTGCGAGTGACGAGGCACAGCGCACCAATCAAATGCGAGCACCTGCGAAGCGGGTGCGCTGCTGTCCTGCGAGTGCAACGCTGTGCAACCACCTTGCTGCAGCGTTGGCACGCCGTCGACTTGCAGCGTTGGCAGGCCGCCACATTGCACTGCTGGAGCACGGTCGACCTTGTCGTGCTGGAACACGGTCGACCGTGCTGTGCTGGCAATCGACCAGCTTGCATGCTAGCATCTGATGTAGTCGTTGTTGCCTTGCCATTGTGTACCATTATTGTGAACTTTTTCTAGTGAAACTCTTGCCAATTTCCCCCGTGAATGTACAAGTAGTGTGAGCACAAGTAAACGACTAAGGAGCAAACGCAGAGATCCCTCTCACACCCGTGCCTAGCCCGTGGACTAGCTTCTGTTGTTTTAGTTATCCATGCATGGTACGGTGAGCGTGGACGGCACCGCGACTTACCTTCGGTCTAGTCGACTTTGTTTCACTTACCTATCGTGTTCGTAGGCCGGCAGCTGTGCTATAGTCACCATGGTTGGCGTAGGTGACGCTGGTGTAGCAGACACCCTGGAGGCACGGCTGGAGGATGCGAGGAGACGCCACTAGGCTGGCGAGTACGTGGAGACGCTCCCTTTGGCGGTCGTCGAGGCGGGCATCCGCGCCGTGTGGGCGGCGGGGCATCCTTCTCGACCTGCCTCTCCTCGACCGGTGAACACCGAAGGCGGCGTCGACGTAGGTGTCAACGCTGGTGACCAAGTCGGCAGCAGTGCGGGAGGCACGTCGATGCAAAGAGGAGTGACTCACGCCGATGAAGTCTCCGGCGTTCAGGTGCAAGGGCTGAGTCGTCAGCGGCAGCAGGCTCCTCGCAGGGCGACGTCGAAGGTTGTCGAAGCAGCGTGACGCCAGCGTCGGCGACCCACGTCACGGCGGGTGGGATCGCGCCGACCTACGGCTACTTCAAGTTTACGCTGGACAGAATTTTTGTCAGTCCCCTGCTGGTCGGCCGTCCCGACATCCTTACGTGAAAGGAAGCCATGGAGCCCTAGCTGGAGATGGCCGGCTTGATGTGCTTCGCCGAGGGCAGCGTGGAGACGCCGCCTGCGAGCAACGCCGGGCTACGCGCTGAGTTCCACGCTGTGCATCTGCTCACCTTCACGGTCATCTCGAGGTGCTGCTCGCCAGGCGTGCAGGTCGCCTTGAAGTCGTGCAGGAGCTACTTGGATGCTGGCCACCAGGCGTGGCAGTTCATCACGTCGACGTACCAGGTTACCGATGACCTGTACATCGGCCAGCTGGAAGAGCAGATGACGCACCTGCGGATGGGCGAGCAGGAGACGGCGACCGACTACTGCAACCGAGCTCGGCGAATTCTTGCCACGATGCGGATGGCTGGCGTGCAGTACTCTACGGCGTCCTACATCACGCACGTCCTGAAGGGGCTCTCGAGCAGCTACAACCTGATGAAGCGGCTGTCGGTGATGCCGGGCACGCGGGAGTCGTTCAACGAGGACTCGCTGACCTCGTACATCCACAGGGACGAGGCGATGCAGGAGGACGACAGGCCCACAGAGCTCCTGCCGCAGGCGAACTTTGCCGCCCCGACGAAGCAAGGTGGTCGACCGGGCCAGCGCCGTCAGCCTGGCGGCGGTGGAAGCGAAAGTGGGAGGCAGGCCAAGGACGCCGACAAGGGGAAGTCGGCCAAGGATGGCAGTCGTGGAGGAGGAGGCCGACGTTGGGAATGCTGGCTGTGCCACAGTCCCGACCACCTCTCCTTCGAGTGCCTCGACCACAGTGACTCCGACGACGACGACGCCAAGGGAGCCCGAGGGAGGTCGGATGGGCGTCGTCCTCGACGGGAGAGCAAGCAGCGCAAGGAGAAGCAGTCGACCAAGTCGTCGACCTCGGTGAAGGACGCCAACTCCTCCTCAGGTGGCAAAGAGCGAGGCGACGTGGAGGCGTCGTGCTCGCTGGTCGGCGTCGTGGAACCGACCGTCTAGCTGGCACCGGAGGCCGGTGAGGACTTCCAGGCGGTGGCGGCGGCCGTGCAGGCGAACCCGGCGGTGGTCCTGCTCGACAGCGGCTGCTCGCACCACCTGATGGGGACGAAGGAGGCCTTCGTCGACTTGAAGCCGAGCGGCGACGTCAAGCACGTCCGGGCCTTCAATGGGGCGCTGCAGGACGTCCAAGGCCAAGGCACTGTCGCCCTGCAAGGAGAAGCTAGGAAGCATATGCTCATCTCTGACGTGCTCTACGTCCCGGGCGTGCAGGCGAACCTGTTGTCATCTGGCTAGCTGAAGGAGCACGGCGTGAAGCTGCAGGACGACGGTGACGGGATGCTCCTCGTCTCGGCGGCGGGAGACGTCCTCGGTTGGGCGACGTACACTGGCCGGATCCTCTGCACCGACCTTCGTCCCTGCTCGGCGAAGTCGACGACGCCCACGACGGAGGTGGTGGCCCTGCGCTCGATAGTCTCGGCGACGAAATCGACGCCGGCACGGTGGCACGCCAGGCTTGCACACGTCGGCGTCGACACCATCACGAGCTCGGCGAAGCATGAGGTCGCCACCGGCCTGGACATCAAGCCGTCGGCCGGCACTGACTCTCGTGTGTCTCGTGCGTCAGGGGGAAGCTGGCGAGACACACCTTCCCCGACCAAGGCTCAGACGTCGACGACGCCTTGGCTGTTGTGCACATCCTGTTGTGTGGGCCGTTCTGGGTGGCGGCCAAGGACGGGAGCTTAAACTTCTTGCTGCTGAAGGACCGCAAGACCCGCTATGTGTGGGTGAGGCTGGTCGCCAAGAAGTCGGACGTGCTGCGGGAGTTCCAGCAGTGGCTGGCGGTGGCTGAGCGGCAGACCAGGAAGTCGGTGCTGATGCTGCGCTCCGACGGGGGAGGGGAGTTCCTTGGGAAGGCGTTCACCGCCTTCGTGGACGGCAAGGGGATCGTCCACGACCTGACCTGCCCCTACACCCCGCAGCAGAACGGCATGGCGGAGCGGGAGATGAGGACGGTGGTGGAGTCGGTGCGGACAATGCTGCTGCACCACTGGTGGCACCTCGCTCTGCGACAGGCCGTCTGGGTCCGCAACTGCCTTTAGAGGTCGACGCTGCCGCCGGGAACGACGCCGTACCAGCTGCTCACCGGGAAGAAGCCCGACTTGTCGCTGGCACGCGTGTGGGGCTGCATGGCGCAGTTCCTGGTCAACGAGCAGCAGCGCGGTGGCAAGTTAAAGCCGAAGGCCAGGTGGGGCCTTCACCTCTGTGTGTCGGAGGAGAGCAAGGGCTGGAAGCTCCTCGACCTCACCGACAACAGGGTGGCCACGACGTCGGACGTGGTATTCTACGAGACCATGTCGTTGGAGATATGGAAGTCGGAGCACGAGCCGGCATCGGGGCGGACGCAGGTTAACCCGCCGACAGATACCTCGACAACGACACTCCCTCTGCTCGCCGAGGTTGGTGAGCTTGCTGATGAGGACCCCGAGGTCGTCCGCCCCTCTTCCTCTTCCCCTGTCCCTCGTGCCCCACCCCTGGTAGCCGATCTGCGTGAGCTGACATCACCGTCGGCCAGTGGCGATGAGGGGAGAAGTGGGGCGTTGCCTGTAGCGTCGGCCAAGAGCATCGCCGGTGGCCGACGTGACGTCGAGCAAGTCGGCGTGGCAGAGAAGTCGCCGACGACAGGGGAGCAGCGGGTCGGGAAGAAGCAGCCGACCTTGATGAAGCCGGCGAAGGAGGCGTCAGCAGGGATGACGCCGACAGGGGAGCAGCCAGCAGTGAAGCCGACCAAGGAGCAGTCGGCAAATGGGCAGTCGGCAGGGGAGCCAACAACAGGGGAGAAGTCGGCAGGGTCACCGACCGTGGTGAGGCAGGCAGGAGAGGGCAGCGAAGCCGGTGAAGTTGGAGGGGAGAAGTTGGGCGCCGAGGAGTCCACCGACAGCGATGTGTTGGAGGT